TCAGGTTAGCTCACGTGCTAACAAGAAACCAAACCACTCTTTGTAAGGGGCTGAACAGTGAGCACAATTCAAAGAAAAACACCATGGAAGCTCTCCGCTCTGTTGCTACAAAACTAATAAATAGTGCAATAAACACAGAACACATTCCAGAGAAAGCCTGAGCTCAGAGGTTAGATGCATGACTCAAAGCAGCAGGCTCCCAATATCAAGAGGAGTCGGAAGACTGGGGTGTGAGGCTAGGAAAGGGATTACATATCATAAGAAAAAGGAAATTATGTTGATAATGATTCCCGGAGTCAATGCCAGCAACTTCAGCCAACTTGCCTGCAGCTTCATCAAAATGTGCCAGTGTAGGTCCAATGCTGTCAGGATTAAGAACATTCTTCACGCAGATCAAAGGAAGACCCTCAGAATACAGTTTTTCATTCAATACAAATATTGTCCCCCAAATATGAGCTCTCCAGACTGTTAGACTTAACACAGAATAGAACAATTTCCCAGGTTACTGTTACAATATGAAAATGGGGCTAATCCTTAATATTACCTGAGACTCATACATTCTTTCACTCACTCACTGTATTTGTTGGGCACTCACAGTGTGCACGGTATTTTGCTATTTCTGTGCAGGATCCAAAGATTGGGAGACAGGATAAATAGCATCTAGCAACTAGAAAATACAGGCTCTGATGGAATTCAGATCTTTGGCTGGTCATTGACTAGATGTGTTATTCAACCCTTCTAAGCCACACCTGCCGCATACGGTCTCTGTAAAGATTAAATGGTTATGTGTGTGAAGCACTTGGCGGAGCCCCGGGCACACAGAAGTGCACACAGTCCATGCTAGCCATTATTTAAAACCAAGATTTCGAGAGTATGGGCAAAGTTTCTGAAGAAGGAAAAATGTTAGGGTATTCGTCCAGATCCTTAATACTCAACCCTATTCCCTCTTCACACGCACACAATACTCATAGAACTCTCGGGCTGTCTTCAAGTAAATATTCGCAATTAAGTTTATTTACACATTTGTGCTTAGAATGTTTCTTCTTAAACAGTCTGGGAAAGGAGCGAGCCGTGTGGGAGGTTGTGTGGGGCCCATTCTGACTGGCATTTGAGCCCCAACAAACACCATATTGTCTGCGCCGCAAAGAAACTGCCGCTGGCATCTCCAGGAGAGTGTTTACTTGCCTCTAAATTATGCCATTGTCCATGCGAGGAGAAAGTCAGTCAGCTATCGAGAGGCAAACAGGATGGGAGAATAGTTCTTTGTTACAGCAAGGGAGGGTTCTTACCCGCTCCTGGTGTCCTAAGGCAAACAGGAGCCCCGGGTTCTGTCCAGTCATGAACTTTCTCGGCAAAGCCTGGGCTCCCAAAGCCGGGACTCGGAGACCTACCTGCAAAACCTTTTCCTGAAGTGATGGACTGGTCTTTTGCAACCAGTTAGCACCTGCTCTCAAAACTTGATTCCCTCCCTGATTTATTTCAAGTGGAGCCAGGGGATCAGGACTTAATTAGCAGCGATATATCTCATACTGATCGGTTCCATCCAGCTTCCCCCGGGGCCCAGATCTGTCTGGATTTGGAATTCCGGTGCTTGCTGGGCTGCGTGTCTGCAGTGATCCGGCAGATGCGTCCTGTGGGATGAGGGGCAGGAACCCAAGTGGTGGCGGCCTGGCGGCCCAGGGCAGGCGGGAGGGGTGGGCAAGTCTCGGCAGCCCAGGCCCCCTCCGCTCCCCCCGGAGCTGCCAGCCACCTGAGGGCCCCTGCCACAGAGGCTGCCTTGAGTGAGAGGGTGACGGGAGTGGAGTCACCTTCACTGGCTGGAGGAAGGTCCATGGAGGCCTCAGCCCCTTGTGTCTGCAAATGGCCCGTGGGCTGCTGCAGAAGCCTTTCTTCTCCCAGAGGGGAAAACGCCTCCTGCTTTGTACTAGCTTGAAGCCAAAGTAACATGTTTTGGCAACCATGATTTGGCAATTAGGCCCTCAGCTCACTGAAAGCACTCTTCCATGCAAAATATGCCTCAGAAAGAAAACACACCTGAGTGAAAATACAGGAAGTGAATAAAGGGGTGACAGAGCAGTGAGAGTCACAAAGGGGAAGAGTCTTGGGGCTGGGGGCTCGGGCACGTTTGGCGGAGGCAAGGCAATGACTGAGTGTCTGGATGTTTCCGTGGCCCCCACTCCAGCTCTGGCCAGTCCAGGGAAGGCCAGAGGCAGCCGGTGGGACCCTGTATCTCTGCAGTGGGCATGCCTTCCAGCGGCCCTCAGAGGAGCCCTTGAACAGGGCTTAAGGGAAGGCTAAACAGAGCAATGGAGCTGTGCCTGAGGTCGCGGGGCCCCAGTGGGGCAGGCACCCCTCCTCATCTCAGCCTCCCAAATGGTGTGCCCAGGGAGGGACCCAGCGAGGACACTCGCAGAGCTGAAGCATCCTCCACGGATGCCAGCTCTTTTCTCCTTTCAGCCTGGCATCACCCCATTTGAGGGGAGCATATGGCTGGAAAAGAGAGACTCCTCTTCCTACCATTCCAGGGCACCCACACTCTTTGATAAAGAGAATGCAGCACATACTCCTTAACGGTACAATTTCACAGAAATACAGGGAGTTGGTGCCACGTGGCAGGTTGCTTCAGGTGAACGTGTGGTCGTGTGCTGTGTGTAAACTCAGGTGTCACAAACACACGTGTTGCTACATGCTGGTGTCTTCTCTCTTATCTGGAGCACCTTCTTTCTTCCCTTCCCCTGCCCAACTTCCCCAATTTTGGAGGGTGGCAAATTTAGTCAGGGCAAGATTTTGAAGGCAGGAAACCATGCCCAGCTGTCCCACAGAAAAACACGAGTCCACAGGGAGCTAAACACAACTCAGGTGCAGAGGCAGCAGAGGGTGACAGGGTGAGGACCAGGATGCCTGGTCTTGCCTCCTTAACAACCCCAAAGTACCATCTGAAATTACACCAAAAGAAGCGTAAATGGATTTCACTGGTGACTCTGATATCACTAGAGAGGTTATTTATCACCCTATCAACGTGCAGATATCCAGTGAACACTATTTGGTTTCATGTTACAACTGTAAGTTACTTTTCCCTCACTATTATTAGGTTAACTTTCTGATAATTTTTCTAATAATATTGAATTTTAGCATAGGAATTTGTTAATCTGGGGTTGCTTATGCATAACCATTGGACGAACCCATTTTCAGTTTAATCAGAGAACTCTGTCCATTTCTACATGACCTATTTCTGTATTATCATTCACTTGAGAAATATAATGTAGTCATTGAAATGGCATTTCTGAATTCAGCTCTCATAATACACATATAGTGCTGGTATTTTAAAATTAAAGTATTATTAATGTTGGCTTGTATATTCGATTTAAAGTTTCTTTGTGATCATAGACTAAGATTTTTAAATAAAGTATGAACAATGTTCAGTGTGCCATCTTATAAATCTTATGCGAGCTATAATTTTGCACAGGTAATATCGTCACCCATCTTTAAGTGAATGAAATCCGAATATTATCAACTTCCTTCCATTTGTGTATTATTCTTTTAACTCCCTTAAATATAGGGTGGCAAAGTAAACCAGAGCGTGTTGACTCAGAAGAAAAGACTAGTCAGCCAGGCACTGGTCTTGCCAACTCTCTCTCCCTCTTCTTCTGGGCCCCCTGTGCTCTGTTTCAAGGCCCACAACTGAAAGAGTTATAGGAGCTTGGTGGTATGCCTGCACATTTTGGCTTGCCTTTCTTTTGAAACTTTTTGAGAGAGTTCAGCCTGCAGCTGAGTTTGGATCCTGAAGAAAGTAAAATACATAACATTTTCCCTCTGGGCACTTATTAGGAAAAATATTTATCTGCTGTTGAGGTCTCAAGGTTCTAAAAGGGTTAGTATCTTTCAAAGGAGTCTATCAGGGCTCCATCCTTTCTTTTTTTTTTAACACCCCCCATCCCTTCTTCAGGAAGCAACCCGCACTCACCTGTGAGGTGTACTCTCCTCACACAGGTGCAGTTGGCTCTTGGACGACAACATGTGTCTACTGCCAGGAGTAATCAGGAGAACAGATGACAGGTCTAGGAATTCCCCACATGCATGTTTTAATATAAATCTCTTTGCTTTTAAAGATGGCAGCTAGATATTAAGGCAGAATGCTGCTCTGCCGTTGGAACTGATGGTATTCCTAGCCCAGGAGAAACAGAAGTAAGCTCATTTTTGCCAATCTTTGAAAGGATCACGGGAGCAGAATAGATGGCACAGATTCCTCTCAGGATAATTTTTTCAATCGGTTAATCTTTGGAATGTCCAAAGCCTTGTAAATCCATATTGCACATTATAGGAGCTAAATAAATCATTGTTATCTGACAAGATGAATGCTAGAGTCCGACGGACCTCATATATGTAGGTTCTAACCCAAGCTTTTGAGGTACCAGATTTCTGCAGGAGCATGAATCCCACTGTCTCACTGAATGATATTCCAGTGTGTTCATCCTTAAGTCATTCAATCCACAGGTTTGAAGAAAAATGTCCTTAAGCTCATTCTCCTTATTAATTGGCATAAAGGCAATCAGGAGGTGGGTTACCTACGTGCAATGTATCTCTTTTCTAATAAGCTTGTGTGTGGGTTACCTGTTAGAATTTTTCCCCTGCCCACATCTCACAACTAAGAACATTACTACAGTAACACACAGCATGGACGCCCCTTGTCTTTAGCATTGACCCTGCCTGCTACTTCTTCCTCGCCCGAAGTCACCATGCCTCGGGATGACACTGTCGAACCCTTTGCTAATGAGGTATTATAGTTTCTATTAGGTTGGTGAAAGGCTGCAGAAGTTTTAAAAATTAAGCTAAAGAAGGAAATGAAGGGTGAATGCCAGGCACACCCAGTGAGGCGCGGTGGGGAGGCAGGCAGTCTTTGCCACTGTGTAAAACTGTCTGAAATGCAGTCAAGCAAGATCTCAGCAAAAGAAGAGTCTGACTCAGGAAAGCGCCTTATTGGAGCAGCGATGGCACTGAACTCTCAAGACTGGGAACTGAATCCTCCGTAGGAAGAGGCCCCGGCACAACACGCGCGTTAGTGTGGGACTCTGGAAAAATTCTAACAGCTCTGCTCTGCCCCGGGAGAAGCAGATTTTGCTGACCTTCAGGCAAATCACTTAACCTCTGTGGTTTGGTGTCTGAATCTGTAACGAATAATCATCCTGTAACCCCTCCCAGAGGCCTGAGAACGACAAGGGAGCGGCCGTTTAAGGGCCTGCTGCGCCTCAGACAGAGCTTCAGCATGGGGTCATCTGCTTGATTGGGAGGTGAGATTATGATTTCTTCGGCGGGAATTCATATGGACGAAAAACCAAAACTACACAGTGTTGTTTTCATTTCGAAGAGGCTGGTGCGAATAGTATGCTAGAGTAATATTTTATACTCTTTAGTCGCTGAAAATAAACTTCTTCTATAGCGACCCCGCCATGTCCCTGCGTGCTGCCCAAGCTGGTCAGAGCCGGACGGGCTCCAGCTCCTAAAAGCAAGGGCTTGTCTATGTCTGTATGTGGGAACGGCAGTATTTTAATTCCCTGCACAGAGTTTGAGAGTTGTCTCCTTTATTTCCTGTTGACTCAGCTATCTTCTTCCCACATTTTGGGGTTTGTGGTAAATGAAGAATTTGTATTTGGCCACTGGAAACAAGGCCTTTGAATAAGCCGAGAATCATATGGAGCCTGTGATTTTTCTAAATGATCTGCAATTCTCCCTTGCTCATAGATTCATCAATATTAATAAGAATTACGTATGCATTTGCTGAAAGTGGGACCTCAGTGATAGGAGAAAGCTTAACCAAACACTGTATAAAACCCAGTTTTAAGATCCCTTACTTCCTTGAAATTCTTTCAAAAACAAATCAGCCCTTGTGAAGGATGCACAAAGCCTTGTTTTGTTTCTACAACTTTTCTCTCTTGACAGGCACTAGGACTCCACCAAGGAAAAATTAATTAAATTCATGAAGATAAAAATAGAAGTTGTCTATGCAAATCCAAGTGCATACTGCAAAAGGACTTAATGTACATTTGACCCAATTCATTTAATAATTTGGAAGGATTTTACAAATACCTATTTCTCTTTTCTTATTCCTTTGCAGTTACAAAAAAAATCTTTAAAATTATGTAAATGTTTATAATTTTCATTTTAAACATCCTGAATTTGAAAGAATTAACTCATTTTAATCATTGGTCATTTTAAAAACCATTTTAACCACTTCTAAGTGTACAGTTCCATGTTGTGCAACCATCATCACCATCCATTTCCAAAATGCCATTTTCTTTTAAACGTCAAAATTAAAACTATAATCCAAAAACATTATTCTCACTCCCAGTACAATACTGGGAATTACTGGATCCCAGTATAAGATTAGGAGGCTGGTTGGGGGCTGGGTCTAGCTTGGGGTGCCTGGAGTCTAGGCCCTGCTGGTGGAGGCCCATTCTGAGCAGAAAGAAGAGGCAGACACTTCAGCAGACACAGCCAAGTCTCTGCCGAACAGACAGGTAGGATGGGTTAAGTCTGAGAGACACAGCAGACTGTGATGGGAGGATAAATGGTGAAACCAGTGGCGAAAATCTCTAGGAAGACAGACAACAAGGTTCAAGGTGCAGCAGGATGGGGAAGTTGTGAAGGCAGATCTTCAGTGAGTAAGCGCGTCCAGGAGTCCTTTCAGTGTTCATTCCTTGTGGAGGGGCAGAACAAAGGTATCTCTTAAGGGAATGTTTCCTAATCTATTTTTCTTCTTCACTCTTTTGACTCCCATTTCCCCCCACGTTTAGTAAGGAAGGCATTAACTCCAATTTGCACCGAGTCTAAACTTCATCATTGTAAAGCGTTCTGAAGCAGAGCATCTGGGGTTGGGAGGGCTGGCTGCTCAGTCCTACTAATGAAGGTAGCACCCTTCTTTCTTCCTCCCACCACCACTCCCCACTGCATTCAACTTATCTTTTTGCTCTTGTTATTGGACATTAGAGCTTCATGGTTGCTGTTAGTGTTTGATGGCTGGAAAAGGGGGACAGGAGTTTCTGTGAGGGTTTGGCCAGAGGATTTTGAAGGCAATGGTGTAGTATTCATTCCTGATCTTCTCTATGAAGTCTTTTTTTCACGAAAGAGGATAACGGGGAGCTTGCAAAACTGGGAGGCCATAGGCTTTGGAGCTCAGTGATCAAATGTGGCCCAGAATCATGGAGATACCCATTCTCTCTGCCTTTGTGCAGGAGCTGGCATTACTCTGATGACCTAGAGATGGAAAGTTAAATGGCTTTGTTATGGGCACTGCCATTCACATCATGGGCAGCGGCCGTAGCAGTGAGCTTCAAAATGGCTTCAGGGCCAACAGACGTGGACACTTTGGACCCAAAGGCAGAGGAGAGTGGAGTAGGTATTATGTGATAATATCTGACAGCCTGATTCACGGGCACAAATAAGGCATCTCCTAGGGATTTCCATAAGTAACCTATGGATAGTTTTAGGGAGGGATAGAAACCTACTATCACAGAGATAAAGGCTTTGCACTAATTAATATCAAATTACTCCAAAAATTATATTATTTATTCCTAAGTTTTCTCTGCCAAATAGCAAATCCACTAGTTATTGTCTAAAATATGAAACAGTATTCTATGGGATAATAATGTCTCAACAAACGTACTGAGATACTTCCAGTCAGAAGTATCTTGTAAAGATATATCTGCAAGCCAAAGATATAAGACACTGTATTATTTGAAAGGGATGAAGACGCTGCAAAATTTCAATTCAGTGCAGGACCCACAAAAGTTCATTCATTCGATTGAGTAACATATTCTGAGTTTCAATCATGAGCCAGGTTCTGGGGGTAAAATTATGAAGCAAGGCCTGTCCTTTCCACTCGGAGACACAGATTGCAGAATGATCTATGAGAGACACAAGCTGAATGTAGGGCCACAGGGGAGGAATCCTGGAGAAAACCTGAGCACTGGAGAACCAGGCAGAGGAGGAGTCCCCACAAGGACACATAAGCATCCGGATAGGAGTGTCCCTCACGCCCTGGCTCCAGTTCCCTCTGCACCTCATTGTTTTCTTCCATGCACATGGAGGGAACTGAGGCACCCAGACATTACCAGGGCTCCCCTCTACGTAAATACGGCATTTTTTTCTTGACCATGGCCACTCCATGCTACCAGGACCACTGTCCCAGGAGCAGCCTTCTTTCAGAATCCCAGTTGAGAAGGTTTACGTAAACTCTCTTCTCCGGGACTCCCAAATCTCCCCAGGAGCTCTCCTCCATTCTTCCTCCCTCACCCTCCGCCCCTGCCCGACTCAGCCCTCATCCATACCCCTGTCTCACTCCCTGCTGTCCTCTGCCCTCTCATCAGGTCCTCTTGTCACCCAGCCCAGGGCAGGTTTCTGTTTTGTTTTGTTGGCTTCATCATGTTGTCCTCTGGGGTGACAGGAAACCACCAAACATCAGAGAGTACCATTCATCCTCCCCACTCCATGCTTATCTCTGTCAACTATGCTCTAGTTCTCCATCTTGTTTCCTTGGAACCCCAAATCCTCTCTTCTCTCAACAAAGCCTGGCTCTTGCAAATGAAAATCTTGGCTTTCACATCTATTTTCCCTGAAATGAGCTTCAAGAGCCTATTTTGGAGAAGCTGAACACTGACTCCTTTGTTCCTGGAGGGTTACTACTGCCTTCCCCTTGAAGGAAAGGACGCCCCCGGCTTCGATGGGTGGCAACAGGAACTACTGGGAAGGAAAAATACATCCAATAATGTTTTTAAATATGGTCCCGTTACAGAAGAACGTCAGGCAGCAGCTGAGGTTGGAAACCCTGAATTTGGAGCAACGCTACTCTCACAGTCTCATGATTTTCTCTAGCAACACGCAGAAGATCGTTGGACAGATCCAGGCCGAGGTGCTGAAGGGCAAGTTCTTTGAAAAGACAGGAGACAAATGAGTTGAGACTATTGACAAGACAGTGATTGCTGCATAATGGAAAAGGTAAAGTCAGAAAGGGGCTGGAGGAAATGTCAGGGTCAAGGGGCTAGACGTTTTGTAACTCTGAAGATAAGTTGACTAGGAAGTAACTGAGTGCAGCAAGTGATATTCTTGATCTTAGAGATTTTAGAAATCAAACAGCTTGCAGAAGTTCAACTCAAATGGGGTCATGCCCAAGTGTGTGGAGAAACATGTTGCCACTTTCCAAATCAGGTTATGAACACTAGACGTCACCCAAATCTAGTGCATTATTCCTTTTGCATTTCCATTAGAATTCCTTTGTGAACTACCCTGGGTGGTTCTGCCAGAAGGAAAGGCCGTACCCCAGGCTCCCAGTCCCCAGCCTTCTCACTGCTCCCCACCCACTGGGCTGCCCTGTCCTCACTCAGGGAGGGCTCTTGATGACAAAGCCGGGAAGAGTAAAACATTGGCAACACTGACGTCAGCCCTTGAGGGTCTTACGTGCCACATCTTCACTGCTTTCCTTTAGAAAAGCAGTTGAAAGATACAAGTAATAATATTCATAAAGCATCTTCTAATTTACAAAATTATTTTATTTATCTATTTTACCTACCCCAAGTCATTATTATACCTAATTTACAGATGAGGGAAATGGTGGCCTCAGGAGGTTAAGTCCAAGTTCACAAAGCTACTTCACCCTCTCCGTCCCCCACACCTGGCCCAGGTACAGTCTCCTTCTCTGATTTGGGCACCCCATCCCCACAGTTCATCTTGTCCCTGAGCTACCCCTTGACCTGCATACACTCTATACATCGCTCTTTGTGTTTGACTGAAGGCACTCTACTGTGATGTAATAACTCACTACCTGCCAGGGTGTGCACTGTTATTAGGCCCTCACAGAGGGTCCAGCACCTCATACGGAGCTCCTGACAAGCCCTCATGAGTGGTTCTCCAGTGAAGATGTGGACATCCTTGGAAAGGACAGTCAAGAGCACCTGGGACTCTCCAGTGCTTCCCCAGGGCCATCTGCTGACAAGCCTCAAGCAGTTGGGAGTTTTCCAGTCTGCAGGCACAGTAGCTGATTTGTGAAGAGGGAAGGCCTGCGGGCTTGGATTGACGACCTGGTACCCTGCAGGTAATACTCCAGGGAGACTGACACTTAGCAAATGGAAGTTTCATAGGCAGATAATCTCTCCTGGGCCTTTGGGTTTGAGGAAGAAAAAGGCAGGAAGGGAACAGAATTTTTACAGCCTTGTATATAAAGATCTTCTTGTAAAAGCAAACTTCAAAGGGAGAGAGACCATCGCTCCTTTCCAAGGAGTTTCATTAATTATCACAGCATCTTTGCAAGGGAAGCACGTTGGAAGGAATATTTCTCAAATGAAGAAACTGAGTGTGAAATGGCTTGATTACCGGCAAACCAGGAAAAATACAACCCAGTGTATTTCCAGACTCCTCTTCTAAAGTGCTAGCAACCTCCACCAGGCCATTTAGCCACTCATTAAAGAAACATTCATGGAGACCCTGCTTCATGCCGGGCACCGTGCCAGGAGCCAGGAAATACAGTTCTTGACCTAGAGGATTTCATACATCACCTGATCACCAGTGAAGTTTGCAAATAATCCAAACAAGCAAATAAATATCTGTGACACAATGTGCTGAGTGCAAGAATAGAAGTATGAACAAAAGAGCAAAGGGATCACAGAGAGGAGAGTGAGTATTTTTGCCTGGGAAGATTAAAAAAGACTTTAACTGAAATCTTTAGTTCATCACAAGATTTTGAGAGCTGGTATTAGCAAAGTTCTGGTTAATACCTTGAATGAGGTTGTTAAGCAAGGACAAGCTCCCTCCACAGAACTAGGTTTTCATAATCTTACAGATTAGTTATCCATAGCCCCACCCACAACCAGCATTTGAAATGAAGTACGTGGAGCGTTGTCATAATCCCTATTATTTATTCAGCACTCACCATTTAACATGCTAATGTTGATACATGAATTATCTCATCTATTTCTCACGACAAAATCTGTAAGTAAAAAAATATTTGCATCCCCATTTTACAGATGCAGAGGGCTTAAGAACTTTGCCAGGAGTTCACGCTGCTATTTTGAGAAGAACAGTCTTTGCTTGAATTATTGAGGGTGATTAGCTGTTTTGGTCACATGTGTACTGAGTTACACAAATTAGCATTCATTTTTGTGGCTCAGAATTAACAGCATTCATTTAATTAAATAAGGATAACATTGATCTTTCACGTAAATTTTTTCTCTCTCTCAGTGACACCTCAGCTACCCCTCCCTCCCAAAACCCTCTGAATAGAAACGTGAATAAAATTAACCACTTGCCTGTCATTTTTGTGGGCTACATAGTTGAGCTGGTGGACAGTGGTCCCACAGGTTCAGAACACCTTTCATCTAAGCATTAATGGTGAGTTGTACTTAAAGATGTAGCATTTTTTTTAAGCTTCAGCTCAAAATATCCTTGACTGGAGTGTGCTAAACCAAAACACCTAATTAGAGATGACTTAAAGCAATACCTTTCTTTGTTACTTATTATCCTCATAACCACGAAAATCCAGAGGTTTTACCTGTACCGCAGAAACCTCACTTCTGAGGACATGATCATCACTCTGCAGACTTTTAGCCTCCTCAAGGCAGAGAGTGGGAACTGTAGGACTCACCTCCACTATTCCCCTCACGGAAAAGTCCTGATTACTTCTTTCTTCCAGCGGAGCTAAGTAGAATCCCCATAACAGAGATCCATTTAAAGGACAGTGACTTGCCAATGAATGAATTACTCAATAGTTGTCAGGATAGAGTCAGTATAGATGATACTTAAATGCTCAGCTTTGAGCCTCAAAATGCCTGGTTTGAATCCCAACTGCCTCTACCTAGTCAGTATGTGACACTGGGCTAGTTATTTAAACTCGCTGAATCTTATTTGCCTCAATAGTAAAATACGGTTGATAAATGGTAGAGACTGCAAGCTGCCCCGAGACTTGATAAGTTTAGCTTAGTTAAGATTTCAAAGAAGCCTAAGCATCTATAAATATGATACCAGTGCCAGCGCTAACATCTTCTCCCCCTTTCCCACAGCACAGAAACGGCTGGATACATGACTGCTGAGCCAGACTGCATTTCCTTGTCTTTCTTGTAACCAGGTGTGGCCAGACTAAATTATCTTCAATGGACTATGAATCAAAATTAGGTGTCACTTCTAGGTCAGGACATAGGGAGAGTAGGGGAGCACGCCTCGGGCTCTCCTCTTCCTCCCGCTAGAAGTGGGAACAGCTGCAGTGATCCTGAGGAACCACCCCACTCTCGTCCATCCCCGAGGACTCTTTGGAACAGAGGCATGTACTTGCTGGATGTATGAGATAAATCGATTTCTGTCCTGTTTGAGTCATTACATTTTGAGGTATCTATACAATAAAAGTATCTAAATCATAAAATAGTTACAAGCATTGAAGAAGATAACGCAGGTGCCCTGAGCCTAGCACATAACATCACTAAGCATCACCCTTAATGCATATGGTTAAAAACAGGAGCTTAGCACCCAGAGTGTGTGTTCAAGAACCTGTGAAAACTGAGAGATGTTTTGTAATAGGGAAAGAAAGAAGTGAAGTCTCCTCGCTCTTCAGGATCGTCTGAGAAAACCTGAGGGCGGAGCTGGGAATTCTCAGTGTTAGCACCACGATGTTAGCTCCTTTCTGCAGGGAAAGCAAACTATTGCATAGTTCTAAGTCCAGTGACTCAGAAGCCCTCATTTGACCCAGAAAACCTCCAGCCAGATTATAGAAGGCACAAGGTCAAATAGATAAGAATCTAAAAGCCAAACAGAAGTCTCTAATTAATGCCAACAATCTGCCCGTTACAGCTTCGGTTTGGTCACTAGTTGACAGTCAAATTAACTATAGTTCATTTCCTACTACAGTCAACTTACAATTAGGCATAATAATGAAGGGAAGTAATGGCACTCATGACTTAACATAGTGAGTACTACAAAAAGAGCTTTATTTAGCTTTGGAATTGTGCGCATGTAGCATGTACACGTGCATTTACCATTCTGTCCTCTACACGGATCTGCCCCCTCCCAAAAGAAGTGGGAACAATTGGTCCATCTCTCTTTTTTTGTTGCAAATCTTCTATTCCCATGATTAGCTTTACACAGAACGAAATAAAATCATTTGCTTCCTTACCAGTGTAATTATGTAAAATCATTTCTGGACTGTATTTTATTTCAAGAAGTTCAAGCAAGCATCTTTTCAACCTTAACTTACCCCCTGGGTTTCTGGGAAGTGTCAAAGGGATCCCCTACAGCACAGTCATAAGCCCTGCAGTGACTGTGGCTAAAAACCTGCCCTGGACCCGGTGTTGTGCACTCACCCCGCTCTACCCCATTCCCTTCTGTATGTGTGCCCTGCTGTGAAAGGAGCATCAGTCCCTAGACCTGAAATTCTTTAACGGACCGTTTTCATTTGGTGGTTTTATTTTCAGGAGCTCCATTTTAGTGGGGCGCCTCAGGAAGAAGAGTGTTTAAGGACTACAGGAGACTATTTGTTTCCTAACCTTTTGACCCAAGTTGAGGGTCTGGTTTTCTCCAGGCACATTCTGTTATCAACCATGGGCTGTACCAGGACCACAGTCCAAAGGGGTTAATTAACACAGAGGAAAAAAATAACCTGCCCTCCATAGCTACTGATAAGAAAGGAGCATCATCATCTCCTAAATCAGTTCCTGGAAACTCAAAGGGAGTTGGGTGAGCAAACTTTACTTAATATATTCCCTTCCATTTAAATGTCTCTCAAACCCTCATATTCTGCTGGTGTTAAAAGCAATTTGACAGTATCTAATAAAGATGAGGCTGTACACCCCAAAGGACCTAGCATTCTCCAAGATACACACCCTAGACAAGCACTCACACATGAGAACACACACAGAGGTACGTCCACTGTGGAATTGCTTCAGAAGGGAAAACAGGGAATAGCCTAAATGTCTATCACTAAGAGTATGAATGGAAGTCTGTACCACAGTAAAAATCTATCCAGTTTGATTTATTAAAATATATAAGTATGAATAAATATAACATAATATCAAATGAAAAAAGTCAGTGGTAGACTTATGTGTTCAATAAACTGTTTATATAAAAACCAAAGGTATAAAACAAAATTAAATATTTCTTGCGGATGTAGCTATTGCTGTAGCTATACAACATTTTAATACATATCTGGTAATAATTGAAGCTCGAATTCAGGACAGTGGTTATCTCAGAGCAGAGATGAGAAGGTAGAAGAAGAATGGATTCTGGGGAAGGAGGGCTAGATTAGGAGTTTGGGATTAGCAGATACACACTACTATATATAAAATAGATAAACAACAAGTTTATACTGTACAGCACATGGAACTATATTCAATATCTTGTAGTAACTTATAATGGAAAATAATCTGAAAAGAATATATATATATGTGTGTGTGTATAACTGAATCACTTTGCTGTACACCTGAAACTAACACAACCCCTTAAGTCAACTATACGTCAAAAAAACAAAAATAGGGCTCAAGGAAGGTACCAAGTAACTCAACCAAATCTCTAATGATTTATATAAAAGAGTAAACATGGCAAAATTTTAAAGCTGTCAAACTCTGTGGTCCATCCATGAGTGTTCATTATATCATCTTCTAGATTTACTTACGTCTGAAACATAGGACTTTCCCAAGTGGTCTCGATGGCTGAATATCATTGAATGTCATTGTGTCATTTATGTTTACAACAAGGAACATTGGTCATTGCTTTTCTGAACAGCAACAGCTAAGAATGAGGCAGCATGTGATGGCAGTAAGGTCCTAAACCATCCTTAACTGCCATGGAACTGCAAGCACCAGCTAATAATATGGTATATCAGGCACTTATTATGGGCTAGACTGAGTGCTTAACATGCACGATCTCCTGTATTCCTTGCAACAATTCCAGAGAGAAGCAACTATCAGTATCCCCTTTTTATAGATAAGGAAACCGAGTGGTAGAGTGTAATCTGGTCAAGGTCCCATGGTGAGTGGGGAAGCCAAGAGTCAAACCAGGCCCTCTTGGACTCTCTCCACCACTCTGTACTACCTCCTCATGACTGCTGTCCATTGTCTTTACAAATAGTTATTTTCTAGAATTTTCTGGTTCAAAAGTTCATTAAAATTCCCAATATAGGAGACGCGGGAATCACTGTGTAGCAACCCTCTGCACTGGCCAAGGCTTCACACAGCGCGGTCCCCTGTTACACACCTGCCTAGCCCGGCTGCTGCTGCATGCTCTGGACAACACCTCTGTGAACTTGAAAGCTGTCCTGTCAACAAGACCTTGAGTCAGGAGTCAGGTCAGCCAAGGCCTCTCCTCATGACAACTCTGGAGGCAGCAATGTTCATTCACAGTTTAGATCTATTCAGCATCAAGCCTGAAACAGAGACGTCGCAAATCCCATCAAAATCTCCTCCATTATGTGACACACTTTGTTAGAACAGAATAACGGGTTCGGCTCTGTTGGACCAAATCAAGTTAGTCTATGTGGAGTATCACATTTTAGATTCAAATCCCTGTTAAACCCTTTGCTTAGGCTCGTGGTTAACATTATTTTTATATCTGTCTGCAGAGATGACAGGCAGCCCAGCTCTCTAGTGGGCCCAGCAGCCTCTGTGTGGCTGCTTTTAGAAGCAGGCTCCATAGATGAAAGGCAGAAATCCCACCACCCCAGTGTCTCCTGATTAGCCTGGAGAAAAGCTGAATGACAAACATGTTTCCAATCTGCCTGGCCCACGCAGGGAAATGGGGCAATCTGGCCTGAAAAAGGGATTTAGACTTTTGTTGTGTGCGAGGGAGGCGGGAGAGAGAAAAAAGCTGATTTAAATCCATCCACAATGCTTTCCCACTTGGTGATCTCACAGATAAGAAGCAGGCTGGCTGTGGCGCAGACCCCACCACGCCCCTGCATCTTCCCTCTGCCTGCCTCGCAGCGAGGTAGCCTTGGACCCCTCAGACAGAGCCATGAACTGGGCAGATTACAGCAACCGGCTGTTCCGGAGCACTTGCTCTTTTGGCCAGAATCTTACGATGGGTTTGTTGATTAACAAAACTGGCCTATGGTAAAATTCTCTATAGGACTTCTAGATTAAACTAAGCATCAGTAACAATGTATGCATTACCCAGTTAGCTATTCACTCACATTAATCATATTACACTACATTAGTTGCAAAGCTGTACAGTATGGTCACAAGGCTCACATGGCAAATGCTAAGTGTTAAATATGTGATTTACTTATTGCAGACTCTGCATTAAGTCAGAATATTTTCCTTTCTCTTCTCCCAATACAGAGAAGGGCCCCATAGATACTGAAAGATACACAGTCGATGCAGAGCTTCTTTCAACTATGTAAGTCAATCATCATTTCTCACTTTTTATTACATAATGTTTATTACATAATGTATGTTCAGGTGGGTAGGGTTTGGGTACTAAATATTTTTGAAAAATCCACAAGCCACATAGATGGAAATACGTAGTCTAAAAGCATAAATTCTGGCTTCAGACACATCCTCCTTTTCATTTTTCAGTGCATACATTTGGGCCCTATTAGTATTATGCTGATGGAATGAAGGGCAGAGTCCAGGGAACTTCATTGCCTCCAAGAGCCCCTTTTGCTGGGTGCGGACAGGAGAAGGGTACCTAAACATGGCTTCTGCTATAGATCGCGGCCGCCCGGCTCCATCCGGGGCTTCTTGTTCTGCTGGCATCAGTACAGTGCTTCTTCAAACACAATTATCCAGACAGTCTTCACTGACCTCTTATTGCTGCTGTACTTGGGAAACCGCATTCAGATGCAGATTGACCTAAATCCTATCAACCCGTTCAACCATGTGTGTGAGGGTGCGAGTGTGCACGCGCACGTTCGTGAACAAACATCATACATGTATTTGTACTTATATAAATTCTCTCTAGAGCATTTAAGCCCCCACATCCCAAATTTCCAAATGAGGAGGAATGCTTATTTTCCCAGGCAACTTTGTCGATTGGTCTTGTGCTCTTCTTATAAATATTTCATAGCAGATATTTAACATGATTCTTTCCCCAATCGGATCAGCTTTGAAATGCTCCTCAAAGTGAATTCTCCCCTAACAATAGCTTGATGCAAAAGCTTTTTTCCCTTCTCTTAAGCACAGGGTCTGCTGCCATAGCAGCACGAATAGTTTTTATTTAATGGAAGAGAAAAGATACTTTACATTAATTCAGAAGCCGGTGAAGGTGGGGGCGGCCGAAGGCGCAGCACATGCGTACCTTGCGCTTCCAATACGGAGGCCCAGCCTACCTTGACCTCCCCTCCCCCCAGCCCGCCTGTGATTATTACCCAGCGTACATTAGAACCGTAATGGGAAGTGACAGCTTTATGTAAATGATCCACATACGGATTTTGCTCTTGTAAAACAGAGCAGTTACTTTGGGCTTTCTAATTATTTCATGCCTTGTGGTTCTCTGATGGGGCTGAGATGACTATACTTGAAAAGTACCCGTTGATTGACAGATTTCTGTCCCCCTGGAGCTCATTAGGGCTCCGGCTTTGGAAGATGGGAAATAACCCTACCAAGCACCAAAAAAGAGAGAAGAAAAAAAAAAAAAAGAATTCACCCAGCTCCAGTGATTCCGTAGATTCATTTGTTCAGATTTATGTTTTGTTGGGGAAACAGAGTTATCAGGAAAGTGCACTATTGCCTCCCTGATCCAAACAGACTCTCTGCTTTGGTGCTTTTGATTTTTAAAACCAGCATTTAGAGTCACGCAGGCTATATGATGTAGAACTTGAAGGGTATGAAATGCCAATAGGATTTTTCACAAGCAAGTGGGAAAGAGAGGTGAGGGGAGCAATATGCTGTGAGGAGCAGCTACAGACTCGAACCAACTCTAACCAGGGCTCTCACTCTGCAGTCAGCATGACCTGTCCCTAAGTCAAGCTGGGAGAGCAATCAATGAAGGGGACAAATAACATGAAAAATTGATTTGCAAAGTCTGACTGTCCCCTCAGTTTACATACACCCTGGTGAGAAGGAAAAGAAAGTGCTGGGATGTGGACAAGGCTATGAAAAGAAAAAAGATTGTGAAAATCCACAAAGCTGGAAAAAACTTTAAAGTTCACTTATTTTAGTCTTCCCATTTTATGGATTAGAAAATTAAGAGGCAGAGCTGCCAGAC